CAGACAGCCTCTTCCCAATATGCGTTTTTGCAATTTGCATATATGCAAAAACGCATAAAAAGGGAAAACATCCAGGAAAAATGAAACTCCAGGAAAAAAGGAAACATCGACAGTCCTACAAAAGGTGGTTTTTTCTGGCAATGTGTTACCACGCGGATGCCTCCAAAAATTCGGCTTTTGTAAATAATGAAATGCTGGAGGAAGGTCCAATTACGGAGACTGCCAGCACGTCAGAAATGCCAACAGGCGATGCAGCATTGATCAAAACAACTGAACAGAATGGCAGCTGCGTAGTTAAGAAAGCATATTGTGAATTATGGTAAACCGAATAACACAGTCAGTAATGAAAATATTCCATACCTACGAATTTCCTTCTAAAACATGATGACATATTTTCAAAAAACTGTACCCAGAGTTTTCTTTTTATACATAAATTTCTAATGGTTTAAAAAATATGCACATACACGTAATCACATTGTAAACATGCCTAATCTAATGCTGGTTTTTTGGAAAATACTGTAACGACACCGGACAATATGAATCGATCACAAAAAAAAACCTAGTGTTACAAACATTATTGCATCAAAATCACAGGAGATACTTGTAAATTATGCACCGGAAAAAATGAAATTAACAAACGAACCGGATTATCAACCGTGAACAACAACCGGATTACAGATGTAATGATAGAGGAAAATGACACTGTATTCCTAGAGTAATTTAATATTTCTTAAGTAATTGATGCGTTTTTGCTGGCCGGCACGGCGCACTGGGAAGTAGAGCTTTTATGGTACTCTAAATCGAAGGTCCAGCTTAACTGGTAGATGTTTCGTGGTAAGCTGCTATTGACACATGTAATGGAGCCGAACCCGACATTAGCTTGCTAATACCTTCGAAAGACCGGACCTCTGACAGCTTGACTAGCGAGTGGTTGCTATTGTCAACTGCCACATCCCGAGTACCTTCGTCTTTTATATAGAGTGAATGCGGAGTTTTCCGACTTTTAAAATGACATCTTTTATAAACTAAAACAATTATTTAGGCTGTTCTGTTGATCAGTTTTGTGGAACAGAGTCCAAACCTAAAATCCAAGGCATGCTTCAAGAAAACATCAAACAAATCCAGAGCTATTTCTTGGCGAAGAAAAACAACAATCTTCGTCGTCATTACTCTCATTTGCGTGCACTTCTTTAAAGGAGATCTCTTCAACTGGTTCTGTTTCATCAAATAATTTATACTGAATTTCATACCTGCCAATCTTCTCGTTCAGTACTACCATCGAACGAAATCTGCAACCACAGAAATATATTTGAGAGAGGACTGTCAAATTTACAAAGTCAAAAAAAAAATGTGTTCAGTTTCAAAAATAACAGACAATTGGCAAAAAACTCTATTCAACTCAGCAAGTAAAACATAAAATTGCATGCCATTTGTAGAGGCTATAAAATTGATTGTACCAATGTACCTATCCCATAATTTTGAAGTGTGAAAACGGGATAACCCACAAACTAATAAAATGCGGTGCAGTTAGGCACCACGGGGCTCGGTCGCAAACATGATCTGAAATCCTATTGACCCGGAGTGATGCTAAATTCATCTGCTACAGCGACCCCCGCAATGAACATATGAGGTCAGGTTGTAGTACTAAATTAGTATGTATGCGATTCTATAAACCGAAATATTTCTCTTCAGATTTATTTTTCTCTTTTAATACACTCAAAATCGATTAAGAGAACAGCGCAATGGAGCAAACCTGTAGCCCCAGAGTATTTCATCAGGTAGAAAAGAGGTTCGTGCTTGGAATGTCATGCCAGTAGCCTCAACAATACCCTCAACAGTCATAATAAGCTCAAAATCAGCATTGTGCAACGAATCAGGTGTCAGCGCGAACAACGGACTCTGCTCGTCAATAAGATGCCTTATGATTATTGGCCTGAAAATACTATGTCAAATTTATTGTTTCAAAAC